GACTGAAGCAAGAAACATTGGGTATGCCTGGAAGTGGCGGCTGCATTGTTCAAACGTGAGCTATTACTCTGGTGGCGCCGCTTAGCCTAGTGTCTGAAGCGGGAAGTACTGGGTAGGCCAGGAAGCCTTGATCGCAAAACACGCCAGTACGGCGGAAGCTACAGCCCCGGCAGGCCAATTGGCACGTGTCTACGTATCACCAGAGTGCGCTTTTACTGCGAAGAAGTATCAGGCTTTTCGCTGCGTCTTGCTCTTATATGTGCGCGTTCTGCTCGTATACGTAGCGCATATCGAAGCCGTCGGTACGCAATGGGGGGCTTATCGTTCACCCTTTGCCAAGTTACAACGAGACAAGGTATAATCTTGGGCTGTCACTCTGCCAGTGCCGCCTGGTTGTTGCCGGCTGGCTATAGTGCAGTGGGCAATCGTTGCAGGTGATACCACAGCTTCGCTGGGCAACCAACTTCACAACGTGGATTGGAGCACCGACTTTTTTTGAGTCAATGTCTCAATATAGACGCTAATTTTGGTTTCTCTCTAACCCAAAATGTATATCACGGCGTAATTAATTAAGCTAGAACAATTCTTAGCAGAAATTTACTTCGGGGCATAGGTGTCCGATCTAGGCACTTAATTCTGCTTTTTTAGTTTTAAAGTCGAATGTTTTAATATCCGTGGCAGGGTTTTTATACGCTTAGAAGGTAACGGAAAATATTTTTTGTTGAAAAAATCTGCGCAAATATTAATACCTTTTTGCTTGTTCTTGGGTGTTTTTTTTTTTTTCTTACTAAGATGATTTCCGTATGAAATAATGTACTGTGGGGCCTTTAATGGGTTTGGAGGCATTAAGAGGATTAATTGCTTAGCGTTATTCCAACACAAGAACAACAAAAACGTGTCTGAGCTTAAAATATTTTCACAAAACGTATAAATTCAGAAACGATGTTTCTGAACTACCAAAAAAAAAAAAACCGAAAACGGACTTTGAGAAAGCCAGCAAGAAAGAGAGAGAGAGAGAGTGTGTGTGTGTCTGTGTGTGTGTGTCTGTGTGTGTGTGTCTGTGTGTGTGTGTTCACGGGCACGTGCGTGTGTTCGCGTGTGCGTGTGTGCGTTCAACGCGCGACGCAATGAATTGTATATGACATCTCGTGTTTATAGATATCTTGACAATGACGGCAGAATTTTTCACAGGCTAAAAAGAAATATCTGAGACCTTTCTAGAAAAACTGCTCTAATTAAATTGCATCATTTTGTGATTGTGACGTTCATTGGGGGCCTACACTACCGCAGTTGGTATTAATATCAATTTAATTTATATATTTTAAGGCGTAGTTCTTTGGGTTTTTTTAAGCTCGAATATAATCTGCTGCTTATGATCTAATTTCAAACGCGCGAAGAGCTCTGGCCATACAAAGTGGGCAAATTATCATAGGTACCAAGTGCAACATTTTCAATGAACAAGATATAATATAAAAATAGTCTAAAATCAATTAAAATATCTAGCCAGTATGAAAAATCCATGTAAAATAACATTAATTCGGGGTAAAACATAGGTTGCTATCAAAATCGTGGCATTTGACAATCAACAAAACTTTTGAATTCCCCACCTTTTTTTTTTAAATGGAAAAAAAGAGCGAATTGTTTTTAATTATAAAATTTATCAAAACGTCCATTTTTTTTAACGCTATTGTTTTGTTAATCTCAACCTCTCCAATTGGAAGGAAAACCTACCCGTTTCCACGTATGCTCACTGCGGCATGTTTCGTTGACGTTGGAAAGCCGGTGAAACGGTAAGATTTAATCCCACTCGGGCCGCAGTACTACATTGGGACAACGAAGAGTGTTGTTTGCATTCACTAATGGCAGTTCGCGGGTAATGATCGCGAGCAGTGCCACCGCGCCCGCTGAATGATAGAACGGCGGCGACCCTCGTTAAAGCACTTCCCGTTTCCGCTGCGAGAGGGCGAGCAACGAGCTGGAGACGCGAAGCGTCGGTGGCAGCATGAGAGTGGCAGATATGTTTTTCAGTCACTCCGCTTCCCACACAAACTTCCTTCCTTCGGTAGCGCTTCGGTGTCTAGCCAGCCGAAGCACAACGGAAGTCAGCGAGTGCGTATTAGGGCTGAGCATCCGAAAGCGACACCCTCTTGTCTTCATCCTGTCGTCGACTGCAGTCGGGAATGTTATGACCGCTTCGCCGTAACGCACACAACCGCGGCCAGCCACTGTATTGGAAAATGAGCCGTAAGTTCGGCTTCACCACATTAAAGGCGTTTGTGCGTTGGAGCACGCTTTACAGGGACTCCGGTTGTCGAAACTAATAAAATTTAGACGTTCGTGTTCGGACATCGTAAGGTCGGTCTGCCTTCGAGGTGTGGCGACGCCGATTTTTGCCGTGATTGATCAGCGACTTCTATCCTAAGATTCTTAACGTGCATCACGCAGTAGTGGTACACGACCGCACGCCGGTACGACGCTCATCCAGATCGAAACGGGGAAAGGTGGGGCTTAACATCCCTCGGTTCTGCAGCGCCAGTTTTCGCTCAACGTGCTCCGAGCTGCTCGTTGTTATAGTATTGTGTAGTAAATGACGGGAGGGAAACGACAGGGATCTCTCTCAGCTGTCCCGACTACAGCGCGAGCTTCATTCATTTATTAAGGCTTCGAGCGTGCGCGCCCAGTCGAAGCACGAGGAGAAGCGACGATCGCGTTCTGCGGGCTGTGAGTCCTAATGAGGCTCTTACCGCGTTAATCCCGACAGTGGCTGCACTACTAGGGCCACCGCCACGCTACCTAGGGCAGTCGGGTGGCCGAATGCGTTAGCGCACCGCAGCTCGAAGCAGTCGGAGCGCAGGCCCGCGTTTCAGTGGCCGGGCATAGTTCCTTGGTTCGATCACTTACTCCCACCCGTTTCGATATGGACAAGCATTGCACCGGCACGCGATCGTGTAATCACGACATTGCCCTAAGGCTATGGGCAGCTTAAAAAAAGAAACAGGGCGTGGGACATTATGTTCACGATTTTTGCCTCACGATTCTACTTTGTGTTTATAGGCTAACTTTGAAATTTTATTGGCTCTGAAGTAATAATGGGATGCTCGAAAATTCACCGCTATCTTGGACCACGCTTTTTATTATTTTGGTGTGTGTGTGTGTGATGGCAAAACCTTGTGTTGCAAAACGTGACACCGTCTTAAGAAGAAGAACATTGAGGCAGCCTACGCGAAGTGCTCGTCCCTTTGTTCAAAGCTGCGTCGTCACAACTGTATGAAGCGACAAGGCCTTGATATAAAAATATTTGTTCGACGATCAACGGAATTTATCCGATGGAAATGCATTTCCATCGAATGCCTTCCCTCTTCGCTTCCCACTGCACATTTCCGTCGCCTTGCCTCTGCGGCATCAGCCAAACGATGATTACGCTCATTCTTTGTCTTGACCTGACGTCGCCGACGCGTGGCCTCGACTTTCTTCCGTCGTCGCGCGTGGATACGGTCAATCACTTGTCAAAAGAACCACATTCCAAAGCGGCGCGGCGCCTGCTCGTTTCTGGCTCCGCACCAGCTATGCGACGCTCGAATTGGTCCAAACCGCTGACGTCAGCACGCGCCAACCTCTCCCTCCCTCCCCGCCGCCGTGGTGAGACATTGAATCAGCAAACAGGATACCTCCTTACCTCCCCACCCTCCTCACGACGTCATACATAGCACTGACAAAAGGACGCATGGTCTGACACCGACGGATTTTCCTGATAACGAGCATTTTAATGCTCACGCGTTAAAAATACGAAGACGTCACTATCCGATTTATGGCTTGAAGCGGGTTTGCCTTGCGACGTAAAACGATTCAAGACAGACACCCCTGGTACCGTAGATATTCCTCACCTCACTAGGAAGCGGTGAATACGTATTTGATCTTCTGTTATGTGTGTGTGTGCGCGCGCAAGGACGTTTTCCAACTAGAGAAATACTAGTATTTGTCACTACAGCTACGTTTGAATTGCACGTTAACTAGATGCTGTCGTCTGGAACTCAATAATCCAGTTTTACGTAAAGAAATGTTGAAACAGCTTAGACGTAGTTTTGTGCTCAGTCACGTAAGATTTTAAGAAACTGATTTGTGTAGACTGCTTTGTATTATTCTTACAAATAAACATCTCTACATTTCGTGCACCGCGAACGCGGGAGATGTAGGAAAAAATATAAAAAAGGGGTAAAGTTGCGGGGGTGCAATTAACAGTGAGATATAGTATAGACTTAGAACATAAACGCATGTGTGAGGCATCTGCTTTTGTTTTCTACTAAACCTTTTCCAAATATACAAAAACGCGCATTGTTTTGTTTTTTTTTCGCCATTGTTTATGTTGCAATGCAGTAAAGTTTTGCACTGCTACGAAAAACGTCAAGTACATCGATCCCTTTCAAGGTTCGCTCAACCGATCTAATCAATACCCGTCTTTGTTCGAAGTACATTCGCATCGACTCCGTCTTCACACAACGCTCAATCGCGTTCATTGAACCTGCTACGAGAGCGCCAGACCTTCATATAAATACACACAAAACACAAAACCTTGCCGAACGAGAAAGCGGCGATTTTGGCCGGCAATCCCACTGCCAGACGCTTGTTTTTTCAACGAGCGAAACGTTACCAAATCATTTTTATGTTTGTGCTTTCGTCTCTTCCTTTGTGAGCAAACAACGCGATCGATAAATTGTGTAAACTGTTTGCTTTAGCTTAAACAAGTGACGTTCAGTAAACAAATACCGGTATCGCGTCTCATTTCGCTGGTCGCACTTACATCGCTGTCTATTGTAAATACGAATTGCGGCGAACGCTGTGCAAGGGTGAGACGCTAGATATCAAAAGCGACACTTTCCGCTACATCCACATTATCCAAGGAAAAAAGGGTTAGCACACAAAACATGCATTCCAACTCACGCTCGTCGCTTCGAATGGAGTCTAGCATCGTCGACCTGTCGTGTCGGCAAAGCTGTGCTTACCTCCTCGCCGAGTCGACTTGAACCTTCCTCTTGTCGATCTGTCGTCGTCGACTTGAACGCAAAACGAATCGAGCACGCAAAAAGAGATATAGAAAAATCCCACTTCCCGTTGATTGTTCTTCAGGTAAGAGAAGCAACACAACCCAAGAGTCCGGGAAAGTAAAAACGAAAACAAAAAGAAGCAACCGAAAACAAAAATGGCAAAAAGATTCAGACGGCGCGCGGTGAAACTGCTCGTCTGCTTTCGACGGGCAACTCTGGTTCTATCCTTTGGTCCCCGGATGCCTTCTCCGCCCGCTCACCTGGTTCCCATGGCAACGGCGCGGAAGGCCAATGAGGTCTGAAGCTCGACGTGACGTCACGTAGGCGTGTTTTTTTTTTTTTTTTTGTGTTTCGTGGCCAGCGGCCAGTGTTGCTTCGGCCGGCAGCCCCCTGGCTTTTGACATTCAGTAATCTCGGCACTTGGTCTGGCCACTGTGTTTTTGCTTCTTCTTTTTTTCTTCCGAGGGCGCGGTTTGTTTAATAAACAAAAGGGTTGGAGGGGACGAGCACTGAGTCAGCTGAGTATGATAATTTTCTTTTCTTTTTTTTTTTTCTAGGCGGTTTTACTTTTTTTTTTTCTTTCGTCCTATTTACGGTTCTCTCGAGGGAAGTATTGAATTCCGATACCGACGATGGTAATAACGGAACGCTATAGTTTGATTACGGCTGTCTATTGGCGTTCTATTGTTGTTGCGGTGGTTTTTTAATGTGCATTTTTCTGTTGCGCCTGCCATTTTATTGCAGACGACGATCACGCGAATTGTTGGGTTGGTGGAAAATGTAGGACTAATCGTTTAGGGGGAGCTTTATGCGACTTCTCTTTTTTTATCTCATCATAGTGGCTGCGCAATCACTTTAGCTTAGGTAACTGCGCATCATATTTATTGCTGTCGCTTGTTTGGGCCCTTCTGAGTCATAATGAACGTTGTAATTAGTATCATAATTATATTCAGTGGATATTTGATCGCAAAATTTGTAGATAGGTTTAAAACAGACAGCGTAAACTGTTCTTTGTTCTTTCTTTCTCTCTTTTTATTTGAGGCTCATTGCCGCTATACCTGTTTTCAAGAAAAAAACAATAAAAAAATTTTAGGGGTAGTTTTGAGCGAAAACAAAATTAACTGGTGCTTGAATACGCAGTTTTGATGTTCGTTTTCTTGAACTATATAAAATTTGTTTACTGTTGTCCGCAAACAGCAGACGATTTTGTTTTTGTCATCTGCGCGACGCAGTTACAGTAAAGTACCACATTTTTAATGAGAAAAGCATTAATCTGTATTACGCACCTAATTGGTTACAACTCGATTTGTATACAACAATTCACTGTCTAAGATTGGTTGCTACGTTGAAAGCAGCCACTTCAAACACCCATAGTTCCCAATGTCGGGTTTGCAGAAATAAAATATTACCTCAAATTGATTTTTTGTTGTTTAATCTGTCTGTTTTCGCTACAAGTTTCAAAACTAGTTTCTTACCGTACATTTTGTTTGCCCGCGGTCTGTAGTCTGCAGAACCGTTCCGAGCAATACTTGCCGAGCCTTTCGGTGTGGGGAGGTGACTTTTCCTTTTACACCGGTGCATAGCAGGAAAGCCACATATGGGGGAGCAAAGCAACGAGATTGCCGCAAAGGCTACAACAGTGGGCTCGTTGCGTTTGATTATGCTTCGGCTGCACTAATGCTCCTGAAGCTATACGCGCTCGCGCTTGCAGCCTTCGCGGCTGTACATGTGGGCAAATTCCTGTGGCTACGTAGTCAAAGCCAAATTGTATAGGGAGCATTCACTGGCGGTCATAGCTGTGTGCGCAATTGATGAGCCCGTGCTCACAGCAAGCTTCCACAGTTCTTTTGCAACGCGCATTCGGCACCAGCAAGATAATCGGTGTTAGCAGCTTATTAATGTGAGCTCGTACTTAGTATGCGCTATAAGCATCGCCCTGAAATATGGCGTCCAGTGAATAGGGAGTTTTAGAATAGCGCACGCTAAAGCTTTGCGTGCGCAAAGAATAGCGTCGTCGCCACTGCGCATGCTCCGAACGCAAACCAGGTTTTGCGCTTTGCGTGCGCAATTTTAGCGCGCGCTATTTCTCGGAAATAGCGTGCGTACGCAAAGAATCTTTGCGCTTCTCCAAGGAGGATTCGTGATGAGAAGTTGGCTCAATCCAAGACGAGCACAGTTAAAAAAAATGGCGGCTTCCAGGATTATGTTGGCGGCTGCTTTGGCGGCGTCGTGAGTGCGACGTCGGCGACATCCTCGCGACTGCAATTTTCAATACGGGACGACATTGTACTCGGTTTGGCAGCGATCACCGGCAACTTGATACTTGCGACGCGCGAACATTTCACGGCGAAGGAACGATGTGCGAAGGTCAGTACACGAGACCTCTCTTGCCGAGGCGACGCAAGCGGACAGGACTGGTCAACCGCTCGCGTCGCGTTCTCATGTTTAAACAAATTAAAATGCTACTCTGGACCAAAAAATAGTTTTTTTTTCTAAAGTTACATCATTTCGTGTGTGAAATAAAAATTTTTTTACTGTATCTTGGTGGCGTCGCAAGCGCCAGATGTTTGGGCTTTTGCGTCGCGGCGGAGAAACGCTATTCTAAAACTCTCTCGCGTCGTACAAGCGCTAAATTTAGCGCTTGCGTGCGCTAAAATTGCGTACGTTATTCTAAAACTCACTAATGTCCTTTATTTAAGCGCACTAGCGCTCGTTCGTCCAGTGAATGCCCATGAACTAGTCCAGTGAATGCCATGAGCGCACTAGCGCTCGTGCGCCTTGAGCACCGATAAAATGTGTACACGCGCACTCTTCACTTCTGGAATGCAACTGAAAGTTGTCCTTGGGTATGGCAAATTTTCATGACCTGTTTTCAAACGTATACTTTCGCGGCGGCGTCTTTAGACTGCCGTGCGCTGTGAATGTCTAATACACTTGGGAACGCTGGTGACCGCACCTGCCGCCACGGGTTTCTTTTCTAGCCACGAGGAGCCGTTGATTTCGCTGAATTTCGGGTGTGGCTAAGAATATAACAGAAAAAAAAAAGAATTGGCTGCAGAAACCACTATTGTTGGTTGTCTATTAATTGCGATAGCATTCGTCACGAGACTCACGACGCAGCTCACTGGGAATACGACGACGCCAACATTGAGTAAACGCTTTATTTCTTTTTTTGTCAATAGTTTACGACGCAATCATTGACGCCAGCGCAACTGCAGCGCGCCACTTTGAAAATTGAATGATTGCTTTGCCTGACTGTAATCGTTTAGTCTTCTGTCTCTGTGTAATCGTTTAACGTTCAATCTGTTTCCCCACCATCATTTCAGCTTCGTGTGTGTGTGTCTTGTATTTTCTCTGCGCAATCTTTTAACGTTCGAGCCTTTTCACCACCACCATAGACCATTTAGCAATCACCTCAACTCAAACCGCTAATTGCTTCGTAGCTTGGGCGCAAATTTGAATGTGTGCGTACTGCCGATCCGTGTATGCGCGGCACGGGTTTATCTGCTTGCTAGGAAGACGTCGACAACGACGTCCTAGAGGACGACGCCCAAGACGACGTCTAGGATGGTTTCTAGGACGACCTCTACGACAATCTCAAGGACGACCTTAAGGAAGACGTCCTAGAGGACGACGTTGAAGACGACGTCAAGGGTGACCTCTGAAGTGATCTTAAGGACGACCTCCAGGGCGACCTCAGAGACGACGTCGAGGAGAACTACCTCTAGGGCGACCTCTAGGGCAATCTTAAGGACATCTAGGACGACCTCAAGAACAACGTCCAGGACGACGTCCTAGAGGACGAAGTCAAAGACGACGTTTAGGACGACCGCTAGGACAACGTCCACATAAGCGCGGCGCATACGATGTCAAATAGCGTATCGTGAAAACCGTCTGAAATAATTGGGGTTGCGTGGATATTTATGGGCATCCTAGAACATGGTCTGCCTCAACGGGCGACGAGTCTCCCAGGCTATCCTGGGGTCTTTAACGTGAACCACGCAGTAGTGGTACACGACCGCACGCCGGTACGATGCTGATCCAGATCGAAACGGGCAGGGGTAAGGATTGAGCTCAGGATCCCTGGGTTCTGCAGCACTAGCTAGTATAGCTTTCAGAACAACGAGGATTGCGATACAGCGTTTTTCTTATCTTCCCGTATACCTACGGCTAGGGTGCCTACATGTCTGTCTGTCTAAGGGTGAAGACATCCATTGTTGCCCTGAATGTGCCAGAGCGTGACGCTCTCGCGCGTTCGGTGCGTGACTAGGTCGGTAAAATGGCGTCTATGCATTAACCAAAGCTACGCGCTCGAGCTGAGTGACATCAGATTGCGCGCGCTTCAAAATGCATAAAAAAACGATTGGGCGGAAAAATGGCTGAGATGTCACCACTCAAGCAAAAGCGCGCGTGTGTATGAAGGCACTCTACCTACGGCTCGACCGTCACGTCATGCAGCGACGCTTAGTTTGTGCCAGTCTCGCTGACAGCGCGTCCTCCAGCGTTTCATAGCGAGCACGACGCTAGTAAAGCCCCTTGATAAAAGACGCTAGCAGACGGCTGCGCCATCTGCCACGCTGCGGCGAAACTCGTCGAGCTTCCGCGTCTTTGCCGCTTGGGGCGGGTCGGTCGAGGATCCACCAACGATGACGTCACGCACATGCCTTGTTTTCTAGAATAACAGGCTGAAGTTGAGCTAGTTGGTACATAATTTAGGTAAATGGTCAGCTAGAAACAGAGACATACACAGCGGTGTGTATGTCTCTGTTTCTCCCTGTCTGTGTTTTCTAGGGCTGTGTATCAAATGTTACCCAAACGGATCCGTGTTACTCCAGCGGGTCGTGTCACGTGACAACACAGATTGAAAAGCGCTGAACGCAGGTAAGTTTTGGAACGCCAAGGCACACCAAACCCTTACTCCGGAGTACGATCGAGTGAATTTCGGAATACGGCCTAGGTGATACCATAGCCTCCTCTATACTCACAAAGCCTGGCAGTTCGATGACGGAGCCATAGAGTGCCCGGTCGCAGATTTGGAACGCGAGGATCTGGTAGCACAGAGCATTTCTCGGGGAGTCTGGCATTCAGCGCACAGCTTTTGCAGCGGTGAGGACCCGAAACATGGTTTTCAAACCCGACGAGAAAAGAAGCGCTAGTCCGAGGAACGCGAGAAGCACGAGCGCTCGGGACAAGTGTGTTTCGGCGCCTCGCCGCAGCGGGGCGCCCG